GGGTCTGGCCCTGCTCCATCCCCACCCCCTTCCCCACTGCTCTGGGTGCGGCCCCGTTCCAGGTCTGGCCCTGCTCCACCCCCCTGCTCTGTGTCCGCCTTCCTCCCTCCCTGCCCACCGCCTCCCCTTCCCTGCTGGCTGTTCTGGGGGGCATTGGGGCAGTGGGAGAGCACCGCCACTGGGATCCCCCCTTTACCCTAAGGTAGGGAGGCAAGGAGGAAGCCCTGCTGATAGGGCAACCGGGGTGTGTTCACTGCCACTACAAACTTCCCTGGCAGTGGTGCAAATGTGGGCGTGCCAAGCTCGGACTGTGCAGCTAATTGCCGCCCGCCCTCTGAGTGGTGCATGTGCAGTTGCCCAAAAGCGTTACAGACAGACAGACTAGGTCTTTTATTATATTAGACTAGCCAATTGCCTGTCAAGAATGACAGGGGGGAGGGGGTTGGGAGGGGAGTCCCATTCCCACTCCCAGCCCCCTGTCTGGGCCTACTCCCCACTTCCTTTCTGCCACTTGGAGTCTGGGCCAGCTCCCCCACTCCCCTCTGCACCAGTGGGGGGAGGGGAGGTGCAGGCTCGGGGCTGATGCAGGGTGGGGCACGAGTGGGCTCAGAGCTCAAGGGAGGGAGGCCTTGCCCCTCCCACTCCATCCCCTGTGTCCCCGCCATCATGGCAGCGCTCCACTGTGCTGCCACCTCTTGTCTGAATGCTTATTCGGACTCTGATTGGCTGTTTCAGTCAGCTAATTAGAGCATGAATAAATCGTTATGGACAGACGGACAGATTGAGGCTTTTATAATATTTAGAATGGTGTGTTTGTGTTTGTACGGTGTTTATATTGAGTGATACTCTGTGGCATCCTTAAAAGGATGTCTTGGTATCCCAGGATGCTTTGGGACCCTGGTTGTGAATCTCTGCTTTAGAAAATGAACATGAGTTGTGTAAATGGATGTAATAGATTCCTTTTATTGTCCAGATCATGTTGCTTGTGTGCTGTATCCTAGTGTCCTGTTTTTCCCCTGGGGATTTCTGTCAGAATGTTGTCTCCGAATTTGAAGCCCCCATGTACCACTGACTGTTCTAGTTACTGGAAAAAAGGATAATTCAGTTTCCTCTTGTTTTCTCATACTGCCTGAGTGATTCAAGATAGAAGGGTTTCCATCACTTCACTCCCAGTTGACAGGGTATTTTGATTAAACTGTATGCACCTTCCCAGGTTGTAGCAGATGAGAAGTGACCTGATTCTGATGAGGTTGTACTGCTTTAGAGAGCTCCCAGTAGCTTCAGAGAAACCTGACTGACCTTGAGTTTTTCCTTTTTCGTCTTGGCAAAGCAGTGGTAGCAGCTGCACAGGCACTAGACTGATCTCTAGGCCTAGGCCAGTTCTGCAGTAGAATAAGTTTGCTTGTAAGGTTCTATATTAAAAGATGCTCCTAGTGTAGACAGTTTATACAAGCAGAAAATGGCTTTTACCACTATAGCTTATACTGATATCCTGAGTGAAATAAACTATGCCAGCAAAAGCAGTTTTTTGCTGGTATAAAATGTTTCAAGAAAAAATTATGCCCCAAGCACCACTGCTGTTAGTAATAAATATTCCAATATAGACATGGCCTTAGAAAGCTAGCACTATGTCTGTTTTTATTCAGTGCACATCCAGAAGGAGGTAGATACTTTAAAAATGAAAGTTTAAATTCAGCAAAAGTGATGATGATTGTTTTCCTCTGAGCAGTTGGCACGAAGAAAGCTAGCTGCTATTAGGTAGCATGTCAGTCAGTAGATGTTCAAGTTTTGCATAAACTGACTCTATTAACAAAAATCCCTTTTCCTGAGATTACATGCATCATAAGTATTCTTTTCTCTTTTCTAGATGATCATGGGAACAGCAATGGCAGTCATGTAAAAATCTTTTTACCGAAAAAGCTGCTTGAATGTCTACCAAAATGTTCAAGTTTACCAAAAGAGAGGCACCGTTGGAACACTAATGAGGTAGCTCAATCTTTTTTATTAATACAGAGTATTTTTCTTGATGTGTATTGGTTCATTTCTTTGTTTGGGATTACATTACCTTAGGTATCCAAGGGAAAGTGTGTTGCTTGTCTTGAGCAGCTTGTTGTTTTAAAGAATAAAATGAGATTAAAAAATGTAGACTGAGTTTTGGATTGTATTGTTTCAAAATGAAAGATGGGCAAGCTGACTAATATAGTAGGAGTTTGTATTGTTGTCAGAGGCATAGTAAACTCTGTATATGTAATCTTTAAATGTTCTTACTGTTGTCAAGAATTAATGAAGGTATGGTTTTGATATTACACTATGTTAAAACTGAAAATGCCTTACTATTAAAATACCTTATGATAGACTTCCTAACAATAAAATGATATTTATCCCTCCTTGAAAAATAGACTTCTGTTTGAAAACACCCTAGCTTTTTGAGGAATTTTTGAGAGATCTTTAGTAAGAGCACGGTATCTGGAGGATCAAGTGTCTCAGACTTGGAAGCCAATTCTAAAAACAAATGAGGATGCTATTTTGAGTCCGCTTATATAATTTCCATCAGCCATAACAGTGTTTTGGGATTAGTCAAAACAAGAAAAATACACCTACTTTTAAAATTTAGATGTTTATAGATACAACCTGAAGCTTAGAGCACAGTTTATTTGTATGCCTGAAACTGTTTTTCAGACTTTTTAGGCTGTAAGGATACAAGTTATACTTTAGGATCCACAGCATAATTTTAGGTTTGTATAGAACTGTTTGTTCAAAAAATGCCTTTGTCATATTTGTATGAACTCTCTCATTTCTAAGAAATAATAAACTAGAAAAATATTTCACTAGATGAAGTAATTTAAGTATTTGCCTGTTACAAGCTAATTGTTCTTATTCCTATAGCAGTTAGTTATAAAATCTATCTAAAATCTACTGGCATTGTTTTATGATAGCAGATGGCCCTTCAAGCACAAAAAACACTAACGCAGTTTGTAAAAATCTAGCTAGTGATTTGCAAAAAATATCACTTTTTTATTACAAAGTTAAATTCAAACTTGTCCATTTTAATTCACAAAATATGATATGGGATATGATAAGATATATGATGCGGGCTTGATGTCTCTTCTAAAAAACTGTTGTCAGAAATTTCAAATAATTCTAGAATAGTACTTGGTATTATGTTTAGACTTTTTTTATCTTAAGTAATTTGAACTAGACTATAAATCTGAAACTTGGCCATTTTCCCCGTATACAGTAAAAGCTTTGTTATCCGGCATGAGTGGTGCAAGGCTGGTGCCAGTTATCTAAAAATTCTGGTTATCTGAGAGTTATATGGAAAACAGTGCCATACTTGTAGTGCAAATACTTGATGCATATGCGCATGCCTGATAGACTTGGCAAAGATTCCAGTTGTTGAAGTGAGGATTCATTTTGGGGTTATTGGAAATTCCAGTTAATAGAGTATTCTGGTTGGTAAAATGCTGGTTAACACAGCTTTTAGTATATAATTAACTTTCTGGTGTGATCATATTTGGAATAATAGCAGTATGCATGAACTAGTATCAATTCCAAGCAATTTAAAAATGTGTTTTTTAGACCAGGATTTCTGAAGAACCGTTCTTAACATACTCCCATGAAATCTTAAACATAGTTTAATTACTTCAGCCACTCTTTAATGGTTCTTTTAGTGTTGAAATTAAGTACTTTTTTTATTATATGAATTGCATGCACATGTGGCCTGTAAACGTTGACAGTGTTTTAGAATGCCTTTATCCATAAATAAAGGAGGTCTGACAGTTTTCAAGTTTAAGGGGGAATGATTGTGCATATGGGATAGATAGAAGATTGAGAGAGTATGATTTTGCTTTTTGTTTTGATAAGTTTTTAATAGTGTAGGAAGACAATGGAAGTGTATTGCAAGTACACTATTTGGCATGTCAGTCACACTGTAGACAGTGGACATGAAACCACATTTGTTGAAAGCTTTGTTAGTGTTAGTTGCAGTATTTTGGAAGTAGTTATACTGAAACTAACTTTATTGGCAAATATTTTAGCTGTTATTTATTGTAAGTAATGAAGATCAGCTTTCTGGCAGTGATTCTTGAATCAGTTTACTTTGCTCTTCTTGCACATGGACTTTGCCATTGTTAACCATGCTGTTTTGCTTTTGAAAAGTTTATTACATTAGGCCATTACTGTGATATAGGAATGACACTCTAGACATCACGCAACAGAAACATTCTGCCTTCTGATAGAAGCTGTTTTTTCCTCTTTGTTATATATTCTGCTTGGTGCAATGAATTTATAGTGGAGAGCATCTGGGGTCACTTGTACACGTGACAGGGGTTTGGTCCCCTAAATTGAAACAGTAGGTTTTTAATTGCGATAATTAAAAACACATTGTTTCAAATTAGGGGCTTCTGTTACAGTGAGGGTATGCCACCACCGCGGAAGAGAGGACTGGGGCCCTCCGCAGCTCAGGGGTGCTCAGCCTACAGTCAGTTTGCCCCACAGCTGAGCAAGACATGGGCAAGCTTGGTGGGGGGGGAAGGATCAGACCCCTCACTGCTTCTGCCTTCAGGCCACCTCTCCTGCAGTGCGGTGGGGGCAAGCTGTCAGAAGCTGCAACATTACAAATGGCTATGTTGCAAATTAAACTACGTGTGGGTATGGTTTAGTTTGCAATGTAGGAAACTCATTTAAATCATAAACAACCTCCACACGTACAGCGTGATGCAATTAAACTGCAAAAACGGCCAATATTCGTCACGTGTACAAACTCCCTGGATGGCTAGAGTGTGTTGGCCTTGTCCTGTCTCAGGACTGAAGAACAGACTCCTTTGCCTAGATCAACTCTGTTGATGGAAAATTTTCCTGAGCAGTTTGCTGCCTTAGTATAGGTGCAGATATGTAAAGTTACTTTTACTTCTTATCAGAGCCTACAGTTTGTGTTGTAGCCTCTTCTCCACAGTTGTGATACTTTATTATGATTTAAATAAATATTGGAATTTGTCCGAATCAAAACAAATATGTATTTCTTGTGTAGGATTAACTAATTTAATACTTATATTTTAATCAATAACTCATAAAATTAGAGGTAAGTGAACATTTTGTTTCTATAAAGACTTAACTAGAAATTCCTGTAATCCATGTTTCAGGAATTTACATCTCTGTTGTGTTCTTGTAGAAATATTTTTGGGTTAGTTTACTTCCTGTAGTGATCTAAGCACTGCTCCTTAATGTTAATTCAGTTGGTAGAAATAAACAGGTTTTTTTTTTTTCTTTTTGAAGAAAAATTCTGTGTACGCAGTGTTAGAAAATTTGAATTTTTCTGAGGTAGGCAAAAGTTCAACAGGGGCAAAATAGCCCTGTTTCAGTCATGGGTAAGCTGGTCCTATTTAGCTTCCATTTTTGGATAAATTTGGGGAGAGGGACTGTTAACACAGAACAGCTGAGGTGCTGCAAATTCCTGCCCTTGCTCCCAAGTCAGGAGCAGATTGACTTGATAGGAAGGGAGGATTTTGCTTGAAGGACTTTAATGCAGGGCTAGAGAAGACATTTGTGGTAGAACTTTTTTTATAGTAGTGTATTACATTTCAGTGACATGCACTTGGCACTGTTTATTACTTACTTTGAGCCAGTGAGTGAGGCTTGGATATATTTTTAATTTAAAAAAAGAAAATTGTGCTAAACAGATATGTGTATTATTTTATAGGGCTTGTGAAAAGGTTTGGAACTATGGAGACACTTGAAACTATGTAGAGCAAACTATGTAGTTGGAGAAGCGCTGAAGACTCAGAGGGGAGGGGAGC